TACCCTTCATAAAGCTATCACAAATGCATATAAAAGGACCTCATACCTATCCTCCATATAGTACTTACTAGACTCTCCTCAGAAAAAGAGCCAACAATCGCCTATTTCCCCATTATCTATGTATTACATGCTTTTAATTTCCAGAGCCTTTATAATTATATCCTACTAATTAACATTAATAGGAGAGTACGTAATGATTTAATTATTAGTACTATCTATTAAGATTATTACTTAAAAACTAATACTAATACTAAAAATCTTATATATATTTATAATAATCATCTTTAATACATATATATTATTAATTAACTTTTCTTTAATATTTTTCTTCAGAAAATCTATTAAACTTTATTAATCAAATAACTTAACAAAAATTATGGCAACTCTAAAACAATCTAATGAATATAATAATCGATAGAGATAATCATATTGAAATATTCTAGGTTTAATTCTTAATCTTAGTTGGATAATAAAATATGAATCTTCTTATGAATTATTATAATTTTAATATATTAATTGTAACCCTCTCATCATTAATTTTTTTCTAAGATATTTGGTTATAGTAGTTTAAGAGATTAATAATATTCATTTAGTTGTTTTAGAGAGGAAATAAAGATGAGACATTTTTAGATTATAAACAGGCTATTGAGTTGGATACATAATATACTTTTGCATACATGAGCAGAGGTTCTCGGGTTATTTAATGAATAGGAAATATTTTAGATCAAATAGGAAGTTAAGAGGAGGCACTTTTAGATTGAATTAGACCCAAATGTGGCTTGTTTTTATAATAAAAGAGGTGTATTAAATTATTAAGTTAAATAGGACTTCTATTTACTAAAAATTGGAAATACTAATTAGGCACTTAGAAACTTTAACAAGGGAATTGAAGTAGATCCTAATTGTTCTGATTTTTATTTCGATAGAGGCAAACAAAGTATTATTTTAATCTCTATGAAGACTTAGATAATGAACAATAGGCACTCGTAGATTATGATAAAGCGATGGTATGAGATTCCAATAAATCTAAAGCATATAAAAATAGAAGTCTTAAATTAGTAGAATGAAATAGGCCTTTTATGATATAAAATCGGAAACACAGACATTTCAGTTATCAATTATAAAAAATCATTTGGTCATAGAGTTTTAGAATATATAGGAATGTTCTATTTAAATAATGGAGAAAAAATGAAGGCTCTTGAAGATTATAACACAGAAATTGAATTAGATCCTAATATTGCTTAAATTTACAGTTCAAGA